TGTGTCCGGCAATGGATCGCAACCCTCAGTGTTGCCCCCGTACCGGACCGGGGACCGGCAACGGGATCGCAAGCCTCGGTGTTGCTCCCGCGCCTCGCTCAGCCAGTGAGCGGGAGCCGGTCTGTATGTGGGATCCGAACCCTCGGACGGGAGCGCCGCCGCGCTTCCCAAGCGGCGCACTATCCAGTGCGCCACCGGGCCGGCCCACAAGTTATTGTATCTTAATGATGTCTATGACAACTACACCACTGGAAATGAGACCAGAACGCTGGAAGTGGTACTACCTTGGTTCTTCTACTGGACTAGAATAGAGGCCCAGAAGGTAATCAATGTTATACCCTGAATTTCTTATTCCCCAAAGGGCCATTCAAATGAATAAAGAAGGCTCTCTCTGCTTCCACCATCTCGCTTTTAGAGACCCCCAGGTCACTGTCTCTACCACCAGATGGACTCTGGACTCCCCTGCCTCAGAAACAATATGCAATCCATGTGGAATTAATTATTTTGTATAGTTTGAAGTAAGGATTGGGCATTTCCGGGTTGGAAGAGGAGAAATGGAGGAATCAAAAAGTTAGCATGGACTTCCGGTCAAGATGGCGGAATAGACGGCCCCCAGCGTCACTCTCTCCCACAAATCAACCGATTTACAACTATAAAAACATAACATCAAGTGCATACAGAACAGGGAGACATCCAGCGGTGGAGGCAGAAGCTCCACGGAGACCACATGACCTGCAGGGCCGACATCATGCGATCCAGCAGATAGGCCTTCACCGCTGCTACCCAGCTCCACTCCCAGCCCAGTGCGCATGGAGTAGGGTGACATCTGGCAGAGGAGGCGGGAGCTCCGCGGGGACCAGACCGCCGCTGCACGATCCAGCAGCCTGGCCCAGTGCGTACGGAGCAGAGAGACATCCAGCAGGGGAAGTGGAAGCTCCGTAGAGACCACACGTCCTGTAGGGCCACCACCATGTGATACAGCAGGTAGGCTTCACTGCCGCCACCCAGCTCCATTCCAAGCCCGGCCCAGCACACACAGAGCAGGGAGACATCCACCAAGGGAAGGGGAAGCTCCGCAGAGACCACACGCTCTGCGGTGCCTCTGTGCATCCCAGCAGCCCGACCCAGTGCACAGGGAACAGGGAGACGTCCAGCAGTGGAGGTGAAAGCTCGGCAGAGACCACACACCCTGTGGTACCACCCCATGACCCCACAGCCCAGCCAAGTCCAAGCTGACCAGAGAGGTGGCTCCCTGGAGAGGCCCAAGACCCGAGGGAACTACACACGCAAGGCACTAGTGGCCAACTGAGCAGTCACTGAGGTAGCCATACAAATTGGCAACCACAGCAACATCTTAGTCAGACAATAGAGTCAAACCTGTGGACTGTGAAATCCCCTGCCACAATGAATAAACATCAAAGACAATATACTAGAAATGTGAAAAATCAAGAAAGTACACCACCA